CGGAAGGCTTCGTCGCTCTTCTCTGTTTTGCCACCGCCAATTAACAAAATGCCACCAATGCGCTCGCTGCCGATCAGAGGAAGTGGCAGGTAGTATCTTCCCAAAGTGGTAAAACAAGGCTGCCGTGAGATGCAGTGGAAGCCCTTATTTGATAGGTAGACAGAGGGATGCCTGGTGGGGAACTGGAACAGATGAGGGGTGGGTCCGACATTGGCAGTTAGGAGGGGGAGCTCTGGATCGCACGCACAGTCAAGCTTTGATCCTTATAAGTACAGAGCCTGACACACCGGCTCAGAGTGGTAAGTGTATGATTATCGAAGGCTACGAAGTAGGTGAGGACTCTGGTAAGCTCGTTTCTGGTGATGTCGGTACTGATGGTGTGGGTTGCGCAAACCCAGGCGCGATTGCAGCAGCATTGTTTCCTCTAAACCTCTTCCTCATATCCAGCTATGGACATTACACATCGATCAGTTCTTCGCTTTAAACGACAAAAGGCAGACGCACCAGCCCGCGTTTGCATTCAAACGTCGCCATCCGAAGGGAGAGACATGGCTCCGGCAACTCGTCAAGGTGCTCTTTAACGCAGTTCGAAGGGAGGTTGCCTTGCTTCACGACGCAGTCTGAGTGAAGAACGCAATCCTTGAAAGCAATGATGAGGGGCTCGCAGAAGTTGGACATGGTGGTCTCCACGGAAAAACGACTGGGAAACGGCAAGGACGGGATTTCGGAGGAGCCACGTGAGCCGGAACTGCAAGCCTGCGACGATGCTGACCGAGCTCGTTCGTCCCAATCCACCACGCCTCCTCAAAATCGTATCTCACCCTTGGGACGGGTGTGTAGCTTGGTCTAATGCCCACGCCTGCACCTGTTTCTGCACTGCTCAGGCGTACACCAACAGTTGCGCGGCTGCCAAACCGCGCACTCATTGCCATTTCCGGCACACAAGCCTCCGAGTTCCTCAACGGCATTCTCGCTACGTCCATCCCTAACCCTCCGCGTCCATTTTATTCTACTTTTCTTCATGCTCAGGTACGTCTCATCTCGCCTGCTCAAGTACCAATCAGCTCATCGAACATCACCGTTCACTATAGGGACGCGTCCTCTATGACGTATTCGTGCATACTCCTCCCGTGTCCTCCGACCCCAGCACGAAACAGCCGACATTTCTTATCGAATATGACCCCTCCGTACCTTCGCGCAATTCGGACGCTCCCTCGTTGTTGACCCTGCTAAAACGCTATGTTCTCCGCGCCAAAGTGCGTCTGCGAGACGCGACCGCCGAGCACGATATCTGGGCTGCGTGGGGCTCCGAACGTGAGGATAAGGCGGAAGTTCCCCGTTGGGAGTGGGCAGGGAGTGGGGCAGGGGAACAGGTATGGGGTAGGAGTTCATGGCCGTGGGGTGAAGGAGAACATGGTCTGTTGAAGGATCGGAGGGCGATCGGCATGGGTGTGAGGCGGTTAGTCAAGAAAGGCGACAGACGTGAGTTCGTCTCCGGGCTTCCAAAAGGCAACAACTAATGGACGTAGCACAGGAATGCTCGACGCACGACGGTGGTTCTGAGGAGGACTACCTCCTCCATCGAATAGCACACGGCGTAGCCGAAGGTGCAACAGATATACCCCCACTGAACGCATTTCCGATGGAATCTAACCTGGATATCATGGGTGGACGTGCGTTTTCAGCTCTCTTTTTCGGAGCATCGACGCTGATGAAGACCATAGTCGACTTTCGCAAGGGATGTTACGTAGGACAAGAGCTGACAGTGCGGACATATCATACGGGCGTCGTTCGCAAACGCATATATCCGGTGGTCATACATTCCTCCTCATCGTACGTTCAATTTCCCATCTTGTTGATCCTATCGTGTTAAATTTACTCCTAGTACGGCCGACGGTCCACTAAGCATGAATACCCATACGCCTCAAACCCCCATACGCGCCTCGCCCACACATTCGCCGGGGGAAGGTCGTGTCCCGCGTCCGCGTGGGACAGGAGCGCTCTTGAGCAATACGCAAGGCGTGGGACTTGCGCTCTTGCGGCTAGAGCACGTCGATAAGGTGCAAACGGGCGACTTGAAGCTTGAGCTTGCTTCTGCGGAAGGGGAGCCGTTGAGAGTCACACCTTGGCGATCTGAGTACTGGCCTGTACCCGAACCGAGCAAAGAGGAGGATCCGTAGCCACATTGCATGGGCATTCACTACATACTACTCATACCCTACATCATTACATGGTATGCGTTGAGTTGCTTTAATCATTAATACCTCTCTTCATTTATTGTCGACGGACGAGTTACAGATCTATCCTTGAAGCCTGCCAAAGCTTGAAGACGTAGGCAGCTCAAGATCCATGGCGTTGACGACTGCAATAACGAACTGATTTTCGGGATCTTTGCCGTCATGGCTAACGCTGGCGAGTAGTTTGACCTTCGTGTGAGCATCGGAAGATGTGTATACGAGCTCCGGTTTGCTCGTACGGCCCTCGGGGACCAAGAAAGAAAGCTCTTTCCAAGTCGGCTTTAGGAGAGGATACAAAGCTTTGTACGCGGCCTCTTTAACGGCCCATCTGTGTGATCGTCGTTACTTCATATCAGTTAAAAGGTCGGGCCAAGGCTACAGTGTACACACCTTACGGCAAGGAAACGCGTGCGGCGGGCCTCTATATCTTCGGGAGGCGGAGGTGCTGCCGGGCCATGTAGCTGCCCGTAGAATGGGTAAAAGCGGTAGTCTGGAGGAGGCCGTTCTCGGATCTTCGGATTCAACGTCTCAGCAAAGTCCGTCCAGGACCTTCCTTCGTGCGACAACGTAGGAACGTTACACGCAAACGTGCGGCCTGAAACGATGGGTGGTGGTGGGTCACAAATTGTAAAGGATGAAATCACCCACTGTGTAGCGTTGCTGTCTTTTCCATCTTCTTCCGTCCAATGATCGCGGTAATTTCCATCAATGCTTCAACGTCGTCCGAGGACGTAAATAAGGGGAATTTCCCCGTTAAAAAGAAACATAAAATCATGCCAGCGGACCACACGTCGATGGCTGTCGTCGCGTTCAGGGCAATCGGTATGCACGGGCGGTAAGTCAACAACGTGAAACGAACGTACCGCCGGTCTGCTCGCCACACTTGAGGAGGACTTCAGGCGCGCGGAACCCTCGGGTTCCGGCGCGATTCGCCTTCGAATGAGGGCTTGACGAATGGTTAGTGAGGCGGCTACAGAAGAGGAGGCGCTCTGGCACGTACCGTATATCTTTTTCGGGGCGGCCGACTTTCTCTGACGGCCATGTACTTCGTAGTCTCGCTTCTTTCTGCATGGTTCGAATGTAGTTTGCGTCTATTTCCCCCTGCCGTCGTATGCGGCCGTGGGGGTGGGTTCTTGATGGTGCTGTGTGGAGGCAGGCGCCATGGCTGGGGCCCTTTTCCATGCGCTGCAACAGGACACAGTTGGACGACGGGTTTGGGACTGAAACTCGACACCTACGCTGGCCAGACCGAAGTCGCACAGGGTACCTATCCCAGTGCGTGGGTCGAAAAGGAAGTTGGCTGGCTTGACATCTCGATGAATGATGCCTCTCGCGTGGATGTCGCGTAAAGCCCGGAACATGCAGCGGAGGTACTGCTTGACACCCTCGAGAGGCAAAACGCGATAGAAATCCTGAGTGTGATGTGAGTCTGCCGAGCCGGGCACTGCAATGGCTTATGCTACGAGTGTATGCGCACCCGAAAGTCGTCGTTGCGTTGGTAGGGCATGATGACCACAACCTGGTCCTCCGTCCGAAAGGCAGTGATGATTTGAGACACATGTCGCGCGCCTCGACATGTCTCCATGATCATGATCTCGTTTCGTATGCGGTCGGGCGTGCTGGTCACGTAGATGCGCTTGATCGCGACGAAAACCTTGCTGCCCGCGGGGCGGGGAAGGGACTGGTAATAGGCGGAGGAGGAGGGAGGATGGTATCCGTGCCAGACGGTATTGTCCCATTTGGAATGATACCCGATGTCGACGGCTTTGAATACGCAGGAGAACGTGCCGGTCCCCAATCTGTCCACGATCTTGTAGTCTTCCACGAGCTCGGGGACAGTGGCCTCGAGGTCCGCGATCTGGTGTAAGATTTCCTCCTGCTCGTCCCGCGGTTTCTGGAACATCGACTGCTCTTCCTGCTCCTCCTCGTTCTCCCCCAGATCCTCCTCCACGTCTACGATCTCAATGTCGCTGCTGCTCCCTACGTCATCGTCGCCCTCCTCAACCTCTCCTTCATCTACGCCACCTTCGTCCTGCTCCTCCTCGTCGCTGGCCATCTCTTCGTCAAGGTCAATGAGAGCGTCCGGGTCTTGCATGTCAAATATCCTCCGTGGAGTACCCCGTTGCTTGTAAAGGCTGTCGAGGTGGCTTTGGTACGCGCGGACCCCGCCGGTGCCGGGAGCGTCCGAGTCCTTGCACGGCGCGCGGGTTTTGGCATGTCGATAGCCGTTCGTGTACCGGCTATTTCGTTGATCCGATGAATGAACCTCGAGAGGATTAGAGGAGTGTTGGGAAAAGAAGGCGGTAGTGGTCATGACAAGGTTAAGCAGGACGGAAGAGCGAAACGGGGAGTCGAGCGGGTCGAGTGGGAGAATGAATTTTGATGTAGTTCCGGACAGGTAGCAATATAGGATGGCGGTTGTACGGCAGGGACGGCGAGCGCAAACAAACCAGGCCTATTGGAAGGTGAGTAGTTGGAGTTTGGAGCGAACGCCGACGCGTCGTCCAACTGGAACGAACGCGTCGTTGGGCCTCACGTGATAGCCAATGCACCGCGTCGAACTACTCTAAGTCTAACTTAAGTTACTACTTAGGTCCTCTTCTTCTAGACTCTAGAGTCCTCAGTCTAAAATTGTGACTCCTCAGTAGTAGACGTAGTATACTATTACTTAATACTTACTACTATACTAGTATACTACTCAGTAAAGCAAAATTTAAATCGTAAAACAAAGATTGAAAGAAAAAGAGCAAGCGCCAAAACGAATGACCACCTCAGGACTCGAACCTGCAGCCTTTTGGTAGCATCGGCGATCGAAGCCAAACGCGCTACCATTGCGCCAGGTAGCCTTGTTCCGCTGCAAAGTTACATTATTTATATCCAGAATTACGATCTTGTCCCAGGTTTAATCAATGATTCCACTGTGCATCGTGCATGAGTATTATGCATCATCCCTGATCCACGTTTCGCTCACCCCATTTCCCAACCGCATCCTTCATCCTATAGCTCAACGAAATGGCTCTTAACTGGACCATGCTAAACTCTGACCGTGCTCCGGTATCTCTTCCACGAGAGAGCACCGTCATGTCCATTGATACTGGCGCGGAGATATCTATCATAATACCTGACGCTCCTCCAAGCTCGTCGTCCACTGCTGGAGGTTCTGGTGGCGAGAAGAAGCTGAAGGGGGATGGAACGGTGCACTTGACTGATCAACGAGTGAGTTTGGTGCCATGCTAGATTGGCCGGAATCTTAGTCGTATTCGTTCGCAGCTCATCTTTGTGACCGGAGGGCCGAACAACTCCTTTGAATCACTATCCATCCCCCTACCCTCAGTTCTCTCTACCAAGTTTGAGCAGCCATACATAGGCTCGAACTACTTGACCATTGACATCAAGCCGTCCCCAGAGGGAGGTTTGACAGACGGGACCAAGGCAGAGTTACGGTTCAAGAACCAGCCTCTCTTTCAGTTTGTAAGCGTGTTGGAGAAAACGCGCGAACGCGCGATCTATATGAAGCGGCAGATGCAAGAGGAAGAGGAGATCCTACGTGAGTGAAGTCGCCCGGAGCTGAATGCTTTCGTTAAACGATCTCGCCACAGCGGCGTACAACACACCCTCCGCGTCAGGGTCCCGGACCACAGCAGGAACACCCGCCGACGCGCCTCCGGGGTACGACGACTAGATCACAACTCGATATAGGAATTGTTGTATGTACAATACTTACTAGCCGACTGCAAAATTGTACCACTGATATCCGAGGGAGATACGTCCTCACTGACAACCAGAGTCGTGACGTGTTTGAAGTTTTTTCTTCCTTTGTACTATCCTGCGAGGAATCGACTCCGCCCCCCGGAACCGTGCGCGGAACCACTCAGTACTCACCCTTCAGACTTCCGACGTCCTCCCAGTGTATACCGAGGAGCCCGTAGCGATGCCGACTTAAGTTGGTGCGCTGCCTTCGTGATAGACGAGAGATGCCTTGATATCAAACGTTGGCTACAGTTGAGTGCGCGTCATTATTAACATTCCACATCTATCTGACATCTCGGCGGCTTGCAGGATGCGGATTGTAGGCGGAACACGTTTAGGCTGCCCAGTGGGCCTTTCGAACGCCTAAGGCTATGCACCGCCAATCCTCCTGTGCCTATTATGCTGATCTCCTATTCACATGTACTCTGTAGTTAATCTCGTCGAGCCGACTGGCTGGTGCCAACTGGAAGTTTGACAAGCCTCGCATGAACATGTCCAATTTCAACACAGAAACGGACTCCAACTGTTCCCGATGTTTTGACAACGATTTTGATTTTTTGGAATAGTGTCCCGCGCCGTTATTACGTGCATGTCGTTCCGCCGCCTCCGTCGAAGTCTTATTCACCGGACAGTGCAATATGCCACACTAGTATGTAGTATGTTCACTTTCGCCGCCATTACGTCGATCTTTGGCTTTGAAGGTCAGAACGGCCCCACCGAGGTTTCAAAACTTCGCTACGTGAAGGAAAAATGGCATGCGCAGGTCCTCACCGTGTGGCGTCGAATGTGCCCTGCCGACGTCAGAGTCTTGGCAGATCGAACTTTAAGCCTCTGTATACTGCGACGTCACTCAAGAGGAGAGCCCACCCGGTCCCACCGAGGTCTATAGCTGTCCTCAACCATCGACGAACGGCGGCTCGGTACGGTCTGTGTGGCATTCGGAACCGCGTTCCAAGGAATTTTCACTTTCTTTCCCCGGGGGTTTGATTCCAGCATCTCTAGCGGGTTGACGACAGGAACATGGAGCACAGGGAGTTGTGACTTTTCTGTGGGCGTCTCGCCCCCATGTCAAGGCAAGTGAGGCGAATTTTTACGGGACGTCCGTGGATCATCTCGCCGAGGGTTGCTCCACGTACCAGGTGGCGAGCAATGTGAGTATACCTCATCCTTAACCAGGCGGCGCAAGGAGTTCGTTAGTATAAAGATGCCCGTACATCCTCAGAATCTCCCCAACCTCCTTCATTGTTCTCATCTAAACATGGGTAAGACTAGTCATTCTGAATCGCAACTGCTTCGACTTCCCGACCCGTGTCACAGACTACATCCGCGCCCTCAATAACCACCTACAGACCATAGGACAAGCGCATCTTCTTGCTTATTCTTACCAGCAGATAGGCCCCAACCACGCAGCAACCCACGCTGCGCAGGTTTCAGGTAAGTGGTCCTTCGCATGAGCACAGATTGACTGCTGGTTTTTACACTTTTCGTAGTGAACGGACAAGTCATTGCCGAAGGAAGAGGCTCTACCAGAGCTATAGCTAGACAGGCGGCGGCAGAGATAGCACTTCGATCATACTATAAGGTCATTTAGAGCAGTGAGTTTCAGCTATCGTGCTCTCCCACTTGCCTGAATCTCTATCCCGCAGGTTCAGTCGACACTCAACCCCCTAGAGCATTCGGTGACCCCTTAGAGCATTCGATCGATCCTCTCCACATGCATATTTAGTCGACAAGATGAATTAAGCCCTCCTGGCGCCAGGAGTTTGCATTCTTTACAGTGGGACATGGACGTCCCGTGAAGCAGTTCGATTGATGATTTCTTCAAGTGTAAGATTATATTTCCCCTTGAACCATGCTCCTTGACTCTCTGGTGGCGAAGTCAAGTCCGATCACTTCTTGCGTCGGACACAGCCTGCTTGATGCCTTTATTTCATACTCTGTTCCGCCGGCCTCAAATCTGACGAATGACACAGCAGCATCTTCGAAGACAACTAGTGGTACTAAGCCTCAACCACGCCCTGACTGTATGTAGCCGGATTAACTTTGTCTTACAAGGAAAGTTCGCAACAAGGGTAAGGCTTCATATAGCTTCATAAGTTAAATAACATAGCTCGCAGTAAAATGGGCATTACCCACTGTCCGATGGGATGTGAGCGGCGTATATGCAGGCGCACTGTCAACTGTGTCATATCGTGTCAAACTCCATGGCTCTCGGAGAAATGCCGCCACATTTGATCGCAGTGGGAGAAGTAATATTATTTCTGGGCAGGCATATTGTACATCGCTATCCCAAAGCCATCAGCATTACCAACATACATATTAAGAAACGGAACCTACAGAGACGCCGCGGGGTCGAAGGAGGAGACGGGGGTGGCTTTTCTGACTTCGATCCTGACATCTACGCGACCAGAAAGGTCAGATTTGGTAATTACAGGGTGTGACGAATATGACCGTACCAAAGGATCGGCGTGGTGGTGCGTTGCCCTCATAACTACGACATTCAAGTTCGCAGGTCCGTCGGACGAGGACCTGCTCAACTGTGATACGTTTCTCTCTTGCAAGTCGTAGACATTGGGCGTCAAGATCCCAGGACGAGTACGTGTATGCAGTTCGTCATCACGGCTGGCCTTCCAGCATTCTCTAAGAACAATGGAAAGCGGAACAGTTGCCTGCATATACATGCGTGAGAGTTGTACCACCGGTTGACTCGGACGGGATGGGACGTACACTGATCTGGCCCAACATAGCCGCGAAAATCGCGATGGATAACCATTCACTCGAGAAGGCTATAAGAACCATAAGAAAGGCGATGGCATAAATCACTCCTGAATCGACTATCGTGGCCAATATTTTGAGAATGCTGAACCGCCGGCGTGGTGAAGAGGTTACGCGCGTTGGTGTTGACAATGCTCTCCACCCGATGAGGCAGATACCTCCGCATTGGATCAAAAGCGACGTGACACAAGAAATAGTCAGCCACCTGCGAAGAGGTAGGATGAACAGATCCCCCGGCTTAACAAGACCCTGTGCATGGACCGCATATGAGGAGGAAACTGTGAAGACCATTTATTAGGGCACAAGTCCTCGAGGATACTAGGACGCACTGATGAGGACAACTTCGAGAACGAACTGAATAAAAGGTCAGAAATATCGACCTCCATGTTCACTACGACGAAGGGCTTACGAATGGTAGACACAGGATGATGTTTTTGTTCCACACAGCGTAGACACGCCATATCTTCGTAGTGCATGAACTAGTGTGATTCGCTTGCCAACCGTTAAATCGGAAAGTACATACCATGAAACAATCCCCGATAATCGTCTAGTGGAACCAGTTTCAGTATCGGTATATAAGTAGTGTACAGCTAATGAACGCACATTAAGGACCCACAGGGCCTGCTGGGCCAAGACTATTGGGTATTCCTGGTGCTGTAGATACTGCACTCTCTCCTCAAAATCGGGATGGCCAATAAAGGCCCGAATCATTTGCACGACGAGCGTTACAGTATGAGCTGTGCAAATCGCAAGCTGTAGGCCTATCGTGATCACTAGATAGCTAGGCCCGACATCAACGGCGGCTATTGGCACACAGAGGACCAGATATCGCACCGATTTGGGCCTCTGACGAATCCTCTTCTGAACAGCAGCACTGTCGCAAGGATGGCAAGTGTGAGGCTTCAGAGCGGGCCGTCGCTGTTAGCAGTGTCTTCCACTTCCGCAAAGATGAATAGTGCTTACTTGATACCTGTAGCGCACGAGATCAATGCGTACCGTGCGGAAATCGCTACCAAGAGCAGGGCGCACCGTACAAAGGACCCACTACCCAAAAGGCCGCAAGCTGGGTCGAAACGAGCGCAGTCTCTGGATCCGACATCGTGTCTGGCCGAGGACCTACTGGAAAAAATGAAGCGAGGAGGACGGGCGTAGTTTCAAAGGTCCAGGGTATTTAAGCACCGGCTTATGAACAAAAGACGCTCAGGCTTAAGCGGCGTTTCATCAGGCGCTGTTTTATACATATGCGCTCACGGCAAGATGCAGAACAAGTCCCTGGTACGTTTCGCACCGCCTCCACGGTGAGAACTCTGACAGCATCACT